TGGCAGAGGACCAACAAGATTGCTGGCTGATCCTGTTTTCGCCCAAAGACTCCGGCGCCAGAACCCTCTTCAGTGACCGAGCCGTTCGTGTACCAGACCTGCGCACTCACTTCGGAGACCTTCCAACTACCGGAGTCCCACTCCGCCCTCGTTGGATACTCCACATTAAACTTGCGGTTGAAGCGATATTTAGGAGTGACCCGATCATCCCTGCTCAGAAGGCCAGGATCCTCCCTTTGCAGTTCGAGTAAGATGGCAGTGTGACCCTTGACAGGATTCAAGAATGCCCAGCTGACCTGACCCCACAGTCGATGTGCGACTACTCTCGCTTCTCCGCGGATCGCTAGATCCAACGGTGGGAGATCCAGCAGAACTTTCATTGCACTCAATGGCGTTGTCCGCATTGCACTTGTAAAACTAATACAGGCCAAACGCTGAATTTTGTTGAGCCTGGCATGAGTTGCCTCGGTTCCAATGCAAGGTCGCAAACTAGGGAGCCGTACAAGAGAGATGCACGTACTATCGTCGTGTAGAGCCTGTGCGCCACTTTGGGTTAAGCACCTACCTCACTCCGACAACACGTATGCAAGCCCACATTGAATTGCAAACCTTGTTAACCTTGTATTCAACGTGCTCTCTCCAGTTCAGTTTACGTCCAGTTAGTATGCCTAGGATTCCGAGCGTATTTATCTGGAATCTCTCCATCTGTCTTAAACATTATATACCTGTGATCTGATAGAGGGGACGTTAGAGAAACTTTCCAGCTCCTAATCTCCTGAGCTAACTTAAGCGTACCCAGTGATACATTCATAACCTGTTCTCTGACAGTGTTATTGAAAGTAGCCGTGTTACCGACATTCAGAACCTCAAGGTTCGATGACCTTAGGAACTCATGGTCTTCGCCCTCGTTGGTGTTAGAGCTGCCCCACATATCGTGGTCAGCATTGCTGTCGCACCCATTCACGAAGTCAAGTCTAGAATCCCCAATATGCAACAAGGTTCCCCAGATCCTTAGACGGAGGAGGTTCCCTTGAATCGTAAGGAAGGAATGCCTAATATACGACCAGGTCCCTGTCAGCGCCTTCCATTTTATATCTAATTCTAACTGCAACTGAGTCTCGGAAACTTCCCAAACTACGAGGTGCACTCCAATCTGAGAAAGAACGGGGGAGTTGTGGCTTTTGTCCGCAGCAGTCTTTCCTGCTCCAGGGATCTTTCTTTGTTATCAGACCGGAATGACATTCTGTGGCTTCGCCTCAACTCCAAAACATCACCCAAATTTATTTGCTGCCTTTATCGCTCTCCCTCGAACCATAACTGGGATGACCTACTCGAATACCTCGCCGTACAGATCGACTTCCTGAACATCAATCACCTCGCTTCAGAGGTAGTTCTTCTCGGTGATTTCAATGCCCATAATGAGCTCTTACTCAAGGGCTGACCCAGCTGGTGACGAGCCCTACTTTTTTCCCCCGCGTCTCGACACACGCCAGTAGCCTGCTGGATCTCTTTCTGACCACGCATCCTGCCCCTTACAGCACTGCTGTCCTGTCCCCCCTGGGTAACTCAGATCACGGTGTTGTGGAGGTTAGGTTTCGGTCAGAAGCCGCTGTGGCAGCAGAAACTCGCACAGGCCGCAAAACTTGGCATTACGGAAATGCCGACTGGGAGGGGCTCAGATATTTCTTCTCTAGCTTTCCTTGGAGAGATGTCTGTTTCACTGATGCGGATGCGTCGACTGTCTGTTCTTCAATAACCGAAATTATCCACGTCGGAATGGAGGAATACATCCCTCACACAGTGAAAGTTCCTAAACCAGGGCCCAACGGCTGGTTCAACAAATCGTGTGACACTGCTCGCCAGCAGAAGATCAAGGCCCACAGAACCTACTTACAAAACCCCACTGTAGAGAACAGACAAGCCGACGTCGAGTTCAGAAACAAATATAACGAAGCGGTTCGCAATGCCAAAAACCAGCATGATATAAAAGTTAGGCACAGGGTAATGTCGCAGCGCAATGGCAGTCGGTCTTTCTGGACGCTGGCCAAGCAGATTGAAAAGAACTTCTCACACAGTAGCCTTCCACCACTTACGTGTCAGGATGGAACTATTGTATTCGACTCAAAGGCCAAGGCGGAAGTGCTAGCCAAGATCTTTGCTGCCGACTCCACCATGGACGTCCCCACCAACGCCCAAGTGCCGTCAATTCAAAGGGTTCCCCACACTATGCGGGAGGTAACATTCAGGCATAAGACCGTAAGACGAGTGCTCTTGTCGCTCGACATCAACAAAGCTTCTGGTCCGGACTTGATTCCTGCCATTGTACTGAAGAGATGTGCAGCGGAGCTTGCTCCGGTTCTTTCGCTTCTCTTCCAGATATCTTATGAATCCGGCACCTTCCCAGAAAACTGGAAATTTGCTCATGTACAGCCCATCCCAAAAAAAGGATCTAAAACCGAACCTTACAACTACAGACCTATAGCTCTGCTTTCTGTTATAAGTAAGGTGATGGAGAGGTGCATAAATCGCGAGCTTCTAGACTACCTCGAACGTCACAGCTTGATTAGCGACAGGCAGTACGGTTTCCAGCACCAACGATCCACAGGGGACCTCCTAGCTTACGTCACGCAACTGTGGAGTAAACTCATCCAGTCTCATGGTGAGGCTCATGTCGTTGCTCTTGACATCACGAAAGCGTTCGATCAGCTGGCACGCTGCCCTCTTAAGGAAACTTCCATCCTAGGGCCTCCCAGAAAAGCTTTGCAGATGGGTGGCTGACTTTATCTCTGGCCGCAGGATATCCGTCGTAATTGACGGATTCTCTTCATCCCACAATGTCAACGCGGGTGCTCCCCAGGGATCGGTCTTGGCTCCAATACTGTTTCTCTTACATATCAACGACCTCCTTTCCTGCACGATCAACCCAATCCACAGCTTCGCTGATGACAGCACTCTACATGCAGGAATTCAAAGTGACAAGCCGATATCTGCCGCTGAGCTGGAAAAAATAAGACTAGCGACGACTTCTTCTCTGACAAGAGACCTGTTGGCTATCACTGCTTGGGGACGCAACAATCTTGTACAGTTCAATGCTTCCAAAACACAGTACTGTACTTTGTCGAACAAAAAGCGTCCTAGCGCTCATACAGTTTCGATGGACGGTCAAGTTCTACCAAAGAGCCATTCATTTCGGCTGGTCGGAGTCCAGATCACTGAGGACCTGATCTGGCACGAACACATCTCTTCAATAGCTGCAGCTGCTGGGAAAAAGCTAGGCTATTTGTTTAGGGCTAAGAAGTACTTTTCTCCGCATGACCTTCTCACTCTATACAAGGCCCAGATAAGGCCTAGCCTCGAGTATTGCTCACACATTTGGGGTGCTGCCGCCCCGACTACATTGTCCATGCTCGATGCTGTCCAGAGGAGGGCGGTCCGACTGATCGATGACTCTTCTCTAACAGACAGTCTCGGGACTCTTTCGCACCGGCGGGCCGTCGGCGATCTAGCTCTTTTCTATCGCTACACCAACGGGCTTTGCTCCTCAGAGCTCTCTTCCATGATGCCGCCGCGCGATGTGCCTGCCAGACAGACCCGCCTGACTTCGGCGTCCCATCCTAACCGTGTCAAACTTCGTACATCCAGAACTGGCCGATACGACCGCTCCTTTGTCCCGAGGGTGTCTAGATTGTGGAACAATCTACGGGAGGAAGCTTTTCCCAGTTCTACTAACCTTAGGCAGTTCAAAAATCGTATTAACAAAATTTCTTTGGGATCATCATAGCAGCCGCGGTGTTCCGACATTTAGGCTTCTGCCTGCGCGGCTGTTTCGATATAAAAAAAAGGTAAATTCTTTAAGTTGCCATAAATTAACATTGGTCATTTCGAAAGCCCTGAGCTTGGTGTCCGGGGTATCGTTAAAAAGCCCGTTTACTGAACCGTTTCTCAGCCAGGGTTCGTGGATGAGAACCACTTCTTGGCGGCCTCCTGATATCTCCTGCGTGAGAGCCCTCGAAGCAGCAGTGCTGTAAGTTAATTTGAATAAAATTGAGACTTACCGTAGGTGTTGAGGGGCCCCTCCTCATCTGGGAGCCGAGTTACCAGATTTTTGCCAGGTCTCCTCAAGAGTGGTCGAGGCGATCCACCGAAAAACCGGCACTCCGTTACCCACCCTCACGGTTGCTCATGCTTCAGCGTCAAAGGCCGCCCCGCAGAACGAACTCGCGACGGGAACACTAGCTTCATACGCTTGATTTATATAGCAGTTGTTTGTATTCCATCTTTTATTTTTTATTGTCAGACTTTCAGATTGACTACCCAGGTTACAGGTGAACCAGAAAAGTCAGAGCTCGGATAAAAATTTTGTTGGTGAACACACAACATTCTTTTCAATTTGAAGATAAATAAGTCTTTCCTAACAGCAAGATATTTAATCCTACTCCCATCTTTGAGATTTTCTTTTTAAATCAGCTTATTTGTCGAGATGCTTAACAGAGCAAAATTCAACCCGTTTTCATACCTGGAGAAATACCGTAAATAATTGCTCAAAGCATTGTAGTTTATTGAATGCAGATTATGGTAAAAGACATACTCGTATGGATATCGAAAACTATGTTATAAATGATCGATCATAACGATCTTAGATTTTATTCTTTTGTCGATCTTTTGAATTAGGATTCAATTATGGGGAAGTTTGGTTCAACTCCCTTCTATTATTTCGTTTTAAACAAATTCTAGCGCTGTTTCTTAAAAGGTCGGTTCTATGTTACGACAAAAAGTTCCAATAAACACGGATTCGAAAGGCTTTTGTTTTGAGATACTGGGAGTATTTATTTTTGTTTATTTCTAAATAATTGAAATAATGTTCATGTTTAGATAAAAATTGGTACTTGAGGCATTTTTAACATGAGAAATTCAAATTTGATCATGGTTACACTTAATTTTTCTGCATAGAAGTCTCAATTTTTTATCCTGGTTTTGATTCAATGTTTTATTGGCGGTCCCTTAAATATTGTTTTTTTTAAATAGCGTTTATCACAGTGGATTAAAAAAATTGTTTGACTGTTCGAAAAACATCGATTACTTCAAAATCAAATCAAAATATCTCCCAAACGGTTCCGCGTAGCTACTTTAGCTAATATCAGCATTATTCACGTAAAAAATGACGTCAAGTAGGTTGACACAGCACTTCCTACGCAACCCTATTATCAGTTCATAAAGGATTAGGTTCGGCACAAGTTGGCCCCTCTGAGAAAAAAGTTAGTTACGAACATGTATAACACAAAAACTAAACGGATCAAGCTAGGTAAACATACTCATACGATTAAAATTTTCATATCTACCATGTTTCGCAGTTACGCTTTCACACAAAACTTATCTCATGTGGATGTATGGCCCTCCCCCTTCCAGAGAGAAAAGATTTCCAGTCGAGCAGCGGATGCCGACTGCTACACACGTGTAGTGCCAGTGGTGTAGGAGTACAATTAGTATAAAATGGTGGTACAAGCATGCTGGAAAAGTTAAGGCGGTGCAAAACAGAAAAATAAGGCATCTGTAGCGCCCTCTAAATGTAAAAGCGAAACTAACATCACATTTTAATTTTTTATCATGTTAGAAAGGTGTCAAGTAGCAATTTGCATCCTAATGCAACATTATTTCAAAAATTATTCAGTAAAAAACAATGATCATAAATATAATACCTTATGTATGTATATCCAAAACGCACTGCGGATCAATGCTTAATGAATTTTTTGTCTTAACACACCTAAGGAATCGGCTTGTGATGTGTTGGACACATATGAAGAAACAGCCTGTATATTTTAGGTAATTAACTCATAGTAGAAACCTTGGCGTGGGCTTCATGGCTTGTGTCTTCAAAAACTATTCCTTAATCGATAGTTTTTGTAAGACAAATATAGTGTTATGTGAAGTGCCGAAGATAAGTTGCATTAAAAACAGATAATATTGCTGAAAAGAAATGGTGACATCCGGTATGACATTCGCCGTGCATTATGGATGTACGACCGCCTCTTCGAGGTCACGCTACCACCAGGGGGACCTTATCAACGATTTCGGTGGCCTTCATATCGTTGACAGGCAAAACAGAGATCAACCCGTCATATACGTGGCTGTGGCTACTTGGATACCTAGCTGTAATATGTACCAGTTGCAGAACCATAGCGATGATGAAGATATCGATAAGACTGTCTTAAGGGGAACTAACAGAACAAAACAAATATTTGAGCCTGGGTGAGTCAGTCTCTAACTTCGTCTGGTTTCAGTGGGTTATGGGTTGAGAATAATCAATATGCAAGTTTAAGTTTTCATTTCTATAAAAAAACTTCTATTTTGTATTAGCTTTTGTACACTAGGTGACAGTAGTGGACACAAATTTTCTATTTTGAACAGACGTTAGGTCTACTGGAAAGTTATGTCGATTCTGATTATTTTATCGACGTGCATATTTATTTGACTAGGTTCACTCTTTCTATCAGTAAATGTATTCACGCTGGTCCTGCAAATCAACTGTATTAGTATTTAGAGAGACGAGACGCGATAGTGTTTCTACGGCTATTGAGAACGTTCACAACACAACACATTTTTTATGAATTCCATAAGGAAAAATGCTTTGGAAGTACGTAGGAATTTACAAATAGTGAATATATTAAAGCAAAATATTTGTTTGGCAAGATTATGGATTTGTGGAAAGGCTATTCAGCTGACCAAACTATTGCGGACAGATGATAAATTCATTGAATGCACATCTCTGCGTGCACGAAGCAGAATCGAGCAGTTTTTGGATCTGCTAATAGGATATGAAGAGTGGATCACACACAATGCAGTGGTGCCGGCGACTCACTTTTTCTTACTTTTATCGATCCACCTCACTTTTACTCACTTTTCATTGAAAACATCACTTTTCCCACTATTTTCATTCTTGATGTGCATATTATTGTTTATAAACGTTTTCGAAGGAGCTGTCCTCGTTCTCCAAGCCCCACGAAATTAAGTGAAGCGAATTTTTTTTATAAAAATTAACTTGAGCTGGGCCAATATATGTACCTGTATTACATGAGAAAATTACTAGGATTAGTTGAAATCTACGTCAAAATAAAGCTTCCGCCTTTTGTTGGGTACTTCGACAAAATTCAAGCAAAGAGGACTATTTATACTTTATTAATCTCTAGCTTTCAATGGATTTTGCTATCTTCATCAGGGGCTGCAATAACATTGAGAAGAAGTGGCAACTATTGTGCAAAATGATTTCAAATTAACTTACAGTAGTATGTGAGATTGTTGCTAAATGTTATTAACGTTTAGGTTGAGGGAAACACCCAGTAACCTGGTGAAAGCTGGATACATAGTACATTCGTCAAAATTAATATAAACTACACACATCTGTATGTCAGGAACAAATTAAAATAGATTTGAATTAAAATATTTAAAACGAAAGTTAAAATTACATCGTGAACCACCTGATGCTGCACAAAATGGTGGGCACAGGATCATAAGTAGGATGAAACATTTGACAGATGTCAGAAGGTTGGTGGTGTCAGTGTGGATGGATGGAACCAAAATGTTTTGTAAAGTGTGTGCTATGTTGCCAAATCACTTCAGATGGTGTGATTTATCAAGATATGTTAAATAAGAACTTGTCAACAGACCAGAGGCAGTTGAACAAACTACATTGTTGATCAGATGGACAATTGAATTAAACAATCATTATTTTATTATGAGAAAAAACAATTATTCAAATTTGAATGGAATGGAAATTTTGGAGGGAAAGGGTGGAATAGACAAAAAAAAAACAGATTCCATTTATGGTTGTAAAAAGTCAAAATTTGGAGAGATGTGTACGTGCTCCAACTTTTCGCAGTTTAGCAAATATGAGTAAATGACGCTCAGTTGCTCAACATCTGTCTTCTTATTCATAAAGTTGTATTCATGAAAATGTGGGACATTTCCAAGAATAAACGTTTGGATAGGTTTTTTCTTTATCAAGAAGTTTGATACTTGTGTAGTTCATAGAGTGCCCTGTTGTATTGACATGAGATGCCAGAGCACATCTCTCGGGATGAAGCCTAGAATCACTTTTGTGTGATGAAATCCTTCCTTTTAGAGATCTGCAGGTCTGACCTATGTATATTTGGTTGCAATCATTGCAATTGATAGAGTAAACTATGTTGGTTAAGCCAAGCAACGGGACTCTGTCTTTCATCTTTGAAAAAATACAGTTCATCGTGAGGACGGATTTGCAAGCAATTCGACAGTTCAACGGCCTACATAGTCTGATCAGCTTAGGGGTCAATTCTGTGATGTAGGGTAGGACAGCAAAACCAGATCCGGAATTTGGGATGGCGGTTATATTGTTATTGGAATTGGTATTGTTGTTGGGAATTATATCAGTTCTTTTATTAGGAATTGTGAGAATATTACTAGGATTATTAGAATTTGGTAGAATACTGGAAGGAGAGCTGAACAAGATCTTGTTAATCAAACACTTGGATAACCATTGTTGATGAACAGTTTTGATAGCTTCCGTAAATTTGAAGTATGGAAAGTATTATCAGAGATACTGATTACCCTTGTTTTCATCTGCTTCACCAAGTTTATTTTAATCCTTAGTTTATGGTATGACCTAAAATTGAGGAAACGGCCTGAGGCCATGGGTTTCTGCTACCAGTCTACCAATAAACTATTATTGTTGGAGCGGATGAGTCTAGAAGGCACATGTTACAGTGATAATGTTAAAACAACACTATTTGGATCTTTGTAACAATCTTATCAATGATGACCCATGACACCACGAAATTAATAGAGATCCTACATCAAAGGTGGAAAAGGCATTGTTAAGGAACTCCTCAGCACTGGAGAAATAACCCAAGAACAAAAAAGGACCTTGACTACCTATAACTTTGTCCCTCTTAAATTTTATGCACTTCAAAAAATACATAAACCCGTACTCTCAGTAAGACCTATAGTTGCATCAATAGGTTCAGCCACCCAGGCTTTGTCTTCATCAATATCGGAAACATTGAAATCGGCACATGGTGATAATGATTACTACATCAAAGACTCATTTGAAGTCTCTCGTCAGTTCAATAGATTGACAATACCAGCCGATCATATTATCGCCAGTCTTGATGTGGTGTCGCTATTCAGCAACATCTATCTGGATGCATGTACAAGAACTATTAATAAACACTGGAATGAGATAAGTCAACACTGCAACATATCTCTAGAATCTTTCACCAACATTATAACATTCCTTTTTCATAACAATTATTTCTCTTTCAACAACAAAATATATTCTCAAACACATGGTTGTCCTATGGGATCTGTTCTGTCACCAATTTTGGCGGAATATGTCATGGATGATCTGCTTGATACTGTTATTCCGACACTACCCTATAACCTCTTTTTCATAAAAAAATACGTAGATGACATTATTTTATGCCTCCCTTCCATAGGTCTGGATGGTATTGTCAGAGAATTCAACAGCTATGACCCCTACATCCAATTTACCATTGAAAAAGAAGATGAGAACCTGTCTGTCCCATTTCTAGACACAAGACTCATTCGCACCAACAACAACAGTTTATTGGTAGACTGGTACCAGAAACCTATGGCCTCAGGTCGGTTTCTCAATTTTAGGTCATACCATAAGCTAGGGATTAAAATCAATTTGGTAAAACAGATGAAAACAAGGGTAATCAGCATCTCAGATAATACCTTCCACACCTCAAATTTACGTAAACTATCAAAACTGTTCATCAATAATGGTTATCCGAAGTGTCTGATTAACAAGATCATTTTTAGTTCACCTTCCAATATTTTGCCGAACTCTGGTGATGCAGGTAATAGTCGCACAACCCCTAATAACGGAACTGATGTAATTCCCAATAATAACATCAATCCTAACAGTACTAGCACCAACCCGGACTCCAGACCTGGTTTTGCTGTCCTGCCCTACATCAAGGAACTGACCCCTAAGTTGATCAGATTGTGCAGTCCCTTGAACTTTCGAATTGCTTGCAAATCCGTCCTCACTATAAACTGCATTTTTTCAAAAATGAAAGACAAAGTCCCGCTGCTTGGCTTAACCAACACAGTCTACTCCATCAATTGCAACAACTGCAACCAAATATACATAGGTCAGACCTCCAGATCTCTTAAAGGAAGGATTACATCACACAAAAGTGATGCTAGGCTACATCCTGAAAGATGCGCTCTAGCATCTCATGTTAACACAACAGGGCATTCTATGAATTACACAAGTATCAAAGTTCTTGATAAAGAAAAACACCTTTCCAAACGTTTATTCCTGGAAATGTCCCACATTTTCATGAATAACAACTGTATCAACAAAAAGACAGATGTTAAACAACTGAGTGTCATTTACTCATATTTGCTAAACTGCGAAAAATTGGAGAACTTACATATCTCCCCAAATTTCAACTCTTCACAACCATAATTAGAATCTGTGTTTTGGCCGTTTCCACCAGTAAAATTCATTCCACTCAAAATATAATAATTCTCTCCTCACGATTTATTAATAATTGTTAATTTAAATTCCCATCAATAATAATATAGTTTATTCAACTGCCTCTGGTCGGTTTAACAAATTCTAACATGAAATTCTAAAAATCTCATCATCTGAAGTGATTTGGCAACGTTTTGGCACACGCCCACAATTCGTTCCATCTTTCAATACTGACATTGACATCCTTCAGCCTTCTGTCAAAGGGTTTCATGTCACTCATCAATTCATCATTCCATAACCACTAATTTGTGCAATCATCAGGTGGTTTCACGATGTAATGTTTAAAATTTTTTTAAATAATTTTTAATCTGTTTTTAACTTGTTCCTGTCATGTTTTGTATAAATTTTGACTATTGTGCAATCTATTCAGCTCTCACCATGTTACTGGACGTTTCCCTCATCCTATACGTAAACAACAATTAGCAACATCCTCACATACTACTGTAAGTTGAGTCAATTTAAATTCATTTTACACCTTTGTTGCTACTGTTATCATTGTAATTGCAGCTCCTGATGATGATGGCAAAGTCCATTGAAAGCTAGAGAGAATTAAAAAAGTATAAAGAGTCCTCTTTGCTTTAATCTTGTCGAAGTACCCAACAAAAGGCGGAAGCTTCAATTTTTTTTATATATATATATATATATATATATATATATGGGCTTTGGACTGACCTTCCAAATAACAAAAACTTACTTATACAGGGTGACTTCGAAGTTGAGTCATTTATTTTAACAGTGAGTAGATCTGATCAAAAGAAATGTTTTTTTCCTTTACCATTTTTCTGGTAAAATTAAAGTAACAAAGTTATAGCCCTTTGGAAGTTTGAGTACTGCCCTGTCTCAATAATAATATGTTCGTGTTTGGCGACAACGGATATAATCCGCCTGACCGGTTCATCGCATCGGAAACAAAAAAGCGAAAGAATTTGAAACGTTTATCACGATGTTTTTCGTCAGTCGATAACGCGTTAGTGAATAGTAAGTGTTTGTTGCGTGGCTCAAACGAAATCAAAAATGGCACATGTTTACGAAAATGCTGAACTTGTGGACATGATTCTTATTTACGGGGGGGCAGTCTTTACAAAATGCTCCCGGATGCATCACGGATTTATGCGAATCGGTTTCCCAATCGAGTGCAACCAACCCCTCGTGCCTTTGTTAATGTAGTACAAAGTGCTCGTGAATCAGGTGACTTAAGACCTCACAGGTCAGGGCATGCTGCTCCAATACCGCACGATCAAATACAGGTCCGCACTGAAATACTTGTCGGGACGGTACTTTATTAAACAAGGTAACATTTTTTTTTTATTTTTACACACATATTTTGGTTTATCTTCCTTCTACAATCATTATCTGAAAATTAATGACTCAACTTCAAAGTCACCCTGTATAAAAGTGTCACCGTTTTTGAGATATTGATTTTTTTCTTAAATTTAAAAAAAAACGAACCTTTTCATCTGTGGTCTGTAGCTGCATGTACAAATAAGGTTATACTTTGTTCATTTTATCTATAAAATACTTCTAGATAGTTGCTTCATCATCTACGAATGCAATTTAGTTAAAAGATATTAAGGAATCACGATAAAAAATAATTCTCTCTCTCAGTAAGTTTCATAAAATCATATCAGGAGCAGGTAATAATAATGTAGCTTTTATTTAGCATGACACTGATCTGTAACCAGTACAATTTGATTTTAAATCCAATAATATTTCATTATAGTGTGTGCCAGTCACTTACAAAAGCAGCTATCACTTTTTTCTATTCCAAATAGTACGTGTGGTGCCTTTCTGAAATCTATTCAATGAGCAATCTTTTTATTCAATATAATGCAGTTATAGCCTACAGATGGAGGAAAAAATATCAGGTTAGAAATCCCAAAATAGTCCTTATTTGATCATGATTCCTTAATATCTTTTAACTACATTGCAGTTGTATATGATAAAGCAACTATCTAGAAGTATTTTATAGAAAAAATGAACAAAGTATAACCTTATTTGTACATGCAGCTAAAGACCACAGATGAAAAAGTTCGTTTTTTTTTTTAATTTAAGAAAAAATTCAATATCGCAAAGTCGGTGACACTTTTATATAGGTAAGTTTTTGTTATTTGGGAGGTCAGTCCAAAGCCTATCTTCTTAAGTTTGTCGTGGTACTTACTGGACACCCTGTATATATATGCACACTAGCAATTTCAAATTCGGAAACGGTAAGCAATACAATGCAAAATCGTAGGCAAAGATGCGCATTTATTTAACTAATAGATAGGGTAAAAGATGGGGTTCTAGAACTTCGTGGATATAACGCTGCGCGTTCATGTTACCTCTGATGAAGATTAAAGGTGACCTGGAACCATAAGCTATAGCACCCCAAACCATAACTCCAACAGTGTGATGAACATGTCTTTCAACAAAAAACTGTGGATTCCTCCTTCCACCACGTCGCCTTCTAACCCTGGCACGACCATCGTGCTTGCCTAAACAAAATCGAGACTCGTCACTAAAGACAATACTGTTCCATTCCTGATCCCAGAGTGACCGTTGTCTGCACCACTCAAGGCGATTACGTCGGTGTTCTCGAGTTAAAGGGAGGACCCAGTGTGGCCGGTATGAAAACAAGCCAAAACTTCTCATTCGTCGGTAAACACTTCGCACGCCAATAGGTCTTCCGTGTTCTGCAAACCATTCATTTGCAATGGACCTGGTAGTGGAGAAACGGTCCCTTAAGGTCAATAATCTTAGGCGGCGATCTTCACGGTCTGTTGTTCTACGGCGGCGTCCAGTGCCCCTTGCTCTTTGCGTACGGCCTTCTCGAAGCCATGCCTGACAACACCTAACCACACTTCTTTGCACTCTAACTGCAATTGCCCGAAAGTCCCACTATACGGCCCCTATCAAACTCACTAAGTTGACGAAATCGTACAGGTCTCCGTACTCTAGGCATCGTAACCGATCTTAAAGGATGTCAAGAACCAAAATCCGCCAACGTTGATTCTTTACTGCGGCTGAAATATTCATTTTTAGAGCGTTAGTGAATTAAAAAAAAGCAGTATAAAAACCGGAATGTCCAACTGATAAGGCTGAAAATTTTGTCACTTGTTATTTACACTAAGATAAATATATTCACCAACTTTTATTAAAATAAAACCATTTAAACTGGGTGTTCGGATTTATATGTCACTTAGTATAAATTGAATTAACAGTGACACTTTTTACAAACCTTGTATGAGTTAGTATATTAGTGGGACAAATCGTGAATTTTGAACCAATTAACCTTAATCAAACTAGCTGAAATTTTGTATGCCTGTCTACTCGTCTCGCTACTAACTGAGCTAACTAGCTGAACCAATCTTATGTTCAGCTCTAACTGAATTTTCAGGCAAATTCCGGGCACATAATTTATGCTACTCAGTTGTCGGCTCTAAAAGAATACGGTGGTGTTCTTAATGTTAATTTTTCAATAAAGTTCAATTATTCGGCAAATTGACATCGATTCTGACGTTGCCTTCCAACTTGGCTGGAGTTATAGAATTCTTATACTCGACTAGTCCATAAGACATGCTAAGACGAAAACGATCATTATGGTGTTTTCTGTTCTGCCATGGAGCACTAGAGAAAAGTCTTCACGTTGTTTAAACTTTACTATTTGTCATTATTATTATTATGCTACATACATATGCAAACTAGTAAGATAAAAAGTAAAAAATATATCGCTTATTGATAGATCATACATGCTGAAACATATGTGCATTTTTGTAAACACCTCAAAAACTATTCTCGGGTCTATGACATTTGTGAAACGACATAGTATCTAGAGAGGCGCTTTTTGAATCTCGTTTGGCCATATAAAACTGTGTTGCGGGGCGGAGCCAAGGATGACACGTTTGTATCATATTGACGTAGGTCTGGCTTAACTTTCACAATTGCATCAATAGCACCTTAGCAATTAAGAAAACTTGAGTTCGGCATAATCAGCCTGCATTATCTTTATAACATACTAACCTGTGAAATTTTTTGCCTGACAATATCTTGGTATCTACAGCGGATCGCCTATAGCGCATTATCAGGGTACGTTACCATAATTTTTTATATCATAAACAAAATAATGATTAAAATAATGTGTGAAAAACAAAGATTTCCGTATAAACCCGACTATGGTGTGCAGATCATAAACGCATGTCACCTTGGCCTAACCCCGTGACCATAAACGTTATGACATATCCTCTAAAGATTATATACCAATGATCCCTGACAAGATCTCACGCGTTTCGCATAGAATGAGAAGGATGCTTAGAATATATGAGCGCGTTTAGAGAATGTTAGCGGTACGACATACTTAAAGCGCTTGTATATGGAAAGGGCTGCTGACATTAAAGCGCTTTACCGACCGCTGTTTCCTCAATGCGCCCATTGTTGTGTCAAAGATAAAAAATGAGGCTACCTGTTCATACTATAACGTCACAACGATAATGATCGGGGCTTGCGCCTTTATATTAGTGATGGAATTAATGTTTTACCATATGTTTTGTGATTGTTCTGAACTGCTGCATATGAAGAATGGAGCGACTTACACCACTAATCATCGAATATACGCATCGAATTCAGCAGAAGATTTAAAATAAAATAGCTTGCACTTTTCTTATTTGTTAAAGTGTATTTCATCCTTTCTTTTATTACATTATATACATACGTTTCTTTTATTATGAAACCTTAAGGTAGTTGTCAATTCCAACCTTAGACCGAAATTATATTCATTTAATGCCTTATATATGTATGTTTCAGGTAGGTAGTTTTTCAGAGTGAAGTACAATGGAGTTACTCTCATCATTTTCGTTATTATGCTATTTAATTTTGGAATATCTGTATTTGTTTAAGGTATATTTTGGTCTCTGGGAGGAGTCGATGACAACCTGGACATTGTGACAGAGGAAATGCGACTATATCAAATGTGTTTTTTCCAGCGGAGAGCCAGAGACCAAAGATCAAGAGGAAAAAGACTTTAACCAGACCACATCAGAAGTGGAAGTTGAAGAAAATAATAGCGACATGAATACTTCACGAACTGATGTTGAGAGTGATTCTGCGAACAAAGCAGAGCCTAGCAAAGAGGGATCTACAATAGAGAAGACTAAAGAAAATCTTTCTGTCACTCCCAAAAGGGTGTTGAGTCCAAAACAGTTAAAGAGGAGGCAGGAATCTGAAAAGAAGCGTTTGGAAAAACAGAAAGAGAGGGAAGAGAAAGAGAGGACAAAGAACGAGGAAAGAGAACGGACCAAACAAGAAAAACTGAAAATGGTTGAAGAAAGACAAAAAGAGAAAGAGATGAAGATGGAACAGAAAAAGAAGGAAAAGGAAGAAAAAGAAGAGCAGAAGCGGAGAGAAAAGGAGGAAAAAGAGAAAATGAGAAAAGATAAAGAAGAGCGAGAAGAACAGAAACGCAAAGAACGTGAGCAAGAGAAGTTGAAAAAACAACAGGAAATTGACGAGAAAAACAAAGAGAAACAAAAAGAGGAAGAAAAGAAACAAAAAGCAGCTATGGCGTTTGTAAAATTTTTCGTGCCTATCAAAAGGGATTGTCCCACAGATGAAGCGAATAAATTAAACGACCGACAAGCATTTAAAACCTTTGAAGTCAAGTCTGACATGAAGCTAGCCCCTCTCAGGCGGAACCGTTTAACTGAAGAGGGCTTGAAGTTATTAGATAAGTATGTATTTGAACAGGATGCAAATGTGTCTTACTTGGTAGAACTTAAGCAAGGCAAATCGATAGGTAAGTCGCGTAAAACGTGGCCATGTGAAGACACTGTGGATGATGACGTGATTTGCATAGAAACTGATTCCGATGTAGGAGAGACAGTCGACGAAGATAAAAAGCAGAAGTTCCGTGCTAAATTTTTGAAATTCCACGAGAACCGTCGTCCGCCTTACTTTGGCACCTGGAGAAAGCGCAGCAAATATATTAAACCTAGAAAGCCGCTTGTTGAAGATCCTGATTTAATCAGTTATGAAGAAGACTCTGATGATGACTGGGAAGAAGAAGAACAGGGTGAGTCGTTGAACGGATCTGATGATGAAGCTGACAAGGAGAATGAAGACGAAAAAGATGATTACGAGATAGATAATGATTTCTTCGTGCCTCATGGACACCTTAGCGAGGATGAAATCGATGATGAAGAAGAAGCAAGGCTAGCACCAGAGTTAATGAAACAGAAACTGAAGCTGCTTAAGGACGAGTTTGAGCAGGACATGCAGTCAAAAACACACAAATTAAAACCCAGATACATTGGGTGTGTTTGGTACAATAAAGACGGTAGTAATGTCGACGAAGCAATCGATAGGTATCTCAAACCTCTAGCAATGATGACGGAAGGTCAAATAATTATCAAAGCAAGGCATACAATAGTAACATCAAGTAAAGAAACCCCGGCTAAGATGTTAGATGTTAAATACATTCCTATCTTCATGAAAATTGTACACGGTAACACAAATAAACAAAGGGTATTGATAGAAGAGTTCATGACCCACATGGCAAATACTGGATATACACTAGAGATGACTAAGAAGGACATTAAGAAGAATTTGAAAAGTATGGCTAAGTGGACAAAATGCAAGAACAGATACTGTTGGTTAATCAATGAAGAATATAAAGAAAAGTATGGTGTTGATCTGAAGGAGCCTGCTTTGAACTAATACGTGTTTTACTTTATATGGATAGTATTGTGCCTTAGATCGTTAGCGTTTATTTGTACGATGAAGATTAAAGTGGTCAATTTTTTATGACTTTTTCTTTTATTTTCAGGCATCTTCCATCTAACCAGGTCAGAAAAACCAATTTATTCAATATTAGAATTCGGAATAAATATGCATAAAGCTGTACTTATCAATTATAATTGCGATTATATGTAGATAGGAAAAATAAGGTTCAGGTTTTGGCTATTGTTGTTCGATTTACGTAACTTGACATGGCACATGTAAGTATGGACCGTGCAGGTTAGTACAGGTGAGTATGACATACAATATTGTCTATAAAATGTAATCTGAAGAGTGAAATACGAAAAAAATAAGTAAAAAATAATCCAAGAAGCTACAAGGCGTATGTAAATGATTGTCAGGGTTTTTGTTTATTACAGAAAAAATCGTCTCCAAATAGCAAACTTTTTAAAATCTAGTGTTCCATCATAGACATTTTGTAACGTTTTTTCCATATTACCTGAAAATACTGCACATACCTTATCGCTTGTTCAAGGGATACTTCTGCCCTCCAGTCGAAAACCTATAAAGTGTATTAACACCCAAGATAGAGTGGATGCGTGATTGCCAAAAGCAAGGACGGCGTACAGGTCCGCATTCAGGGCTGCCTCCGAATGATGGACTACCACCAACGTGTTGTAAAACAAAGACGACAGTATTTAACGAAATCATCTAATATAGTGAAGTAGTTATAGTTAAGGGTGTAGCAAAATCAAATTTTTATTCTTAAAGGGGTGCTAAGTTTTTCTACAGATTTTTCAAACTAGACAACATGGAGAAATACATACCAGAGGTAACCAGCTGCTCACTATGCACAATGAATCCGTAGTCAACGAGGGGTAGAGATGACACTTTTGTACATGGAATAACTATAAGGCTGTTCAATCAATTGAAAATAGATTTTGATTCGGACTTGCATTGTCTGTAGTTTATCTGTAAGTTAATATTTCACTATAACTAGGATTCTCATAATATGTATTCTGTGACAAAACAAAAACGCGAAACTTACTCAGACTCACTTGAAGAGCTATCGTCATTAATGTTTATGATGATGGTTTCAAAATCTCTCTCAATTATGTTGTCCAGCTCCCATATTGCTACCTCCACTTTCTCCTGAACATGCTGCACACATTTTTGCCATCTTTCTGGTGTGACCCTCTGTATAGCAATTCTGAACAACTCTTGCATGTCAGATAATTTAAATGTTGTATTGTGTGCAGCAACAAAATTCTTAACATCTGCCCATATGAGCTGAATGGGGTTGAGCTCACAGTGGTAAGGCGGCAAACGGAGTACTGTTTTGTGGTGTGCTTTGGCCATTTCATCTATGACATATTTATCATGTCTTGGTCTGTGTTGTTTCACAATATCTAATAGTTGTAATTCAGGAAGGAAGGGTCGAAAGTTATATTTTTGGAACGGAGCCAGTTCTGAATGTCTGATTTCCTAGAAGCTGAAGTTGGGATTTTTTCTATTTTGCGAGAATGATAGGGAGCATTATCCAAAACAACCTCAGAATTGTCTTCGAGACGTGGTAAAATGCCTGAAAACCACTTCTCCAATGCTTCCCCATTCATCTCTTCATGGTAGTCTGTGGTTTTTTTTTGACTCAAAAGACCATAAGCCGTCGTCCACGAAGCCATCTACACCCCCAATGTGGCAAATAATGAGCCTTTTTCCTTTGCCTAGAAAGATAAAATCCGCTAAGTACACATGCACGTCTTGTAGGTACGAAGATAGAGAGATTTGTGCGCAAAAATTGATACCATGAACTACATCGATCTATTTACCTGCTGGATTTTTCAATCCGGTCGACAGTACATCTAGAAATGCCCTTCTGGATGAAGTCACAGTTTTGTCAACCCATACCTTCGGAGTAGTGTACCCAGCGTTAATCCAGGTTTCGTCCAAGTAATAGATATTCCTGTGCTGATCCCTGAATGATTTAATTTTGGTCAGGTATTCTCTCTCCTCCACAGAACAATTTCTTCTCTATCCATAAGTAAGCTGTTACGACCTAGTTTCTTCCATTCGAAATTAAGATGCTTCAAAAGTTTATGATTAGTCGAACGTTTGAAATTTGGTAACTTAGCATCCTCGTTAACCTCCCGTAGTACTTTATCAACTGTCGGTATTTCGTTTCTGAAGAAGAACTCGTGCACTTTCCTTCGAATCGCATGCTTATCAGCGTCATCCAACGATCTTATGATACTTTTGCGATTTTTACCCGTCATTGGCTTGGAAAGGCATGCTTTTTCTTATGTTCGTTCAAAACATTGTACACTGTCGCTTGGCATACCCCAATTTTATCTGCCACTTTCAGAGCTATTTTCGGGTTAGTTGATGTTTCGTCTTCCTTCCGCTCTATATTGAATGTATTCAATGACGACTTTCATGTCTACGCTAAGATCTTTTTTTATCGCTTTCTAGGAGGGCTAAGAGAGTAGCCCACAGCCTCGTCAGCAGTATCTGTACTGGACATGTTCAGGATTGGTTCAAAACAAATAATAACGAGGAATAACAATAACAAACAGAAACTTAACAAATTACTCAAATACACTTAACAACAACAACAGCAACAACCAAGCAAGGTGAATACGAAAACACGAGCACGCAGTGATACACGCGACTGTCGGTGGCGTGAATGCAACTCTGCCTGCGCTGCCCCTGCCCCGCGCATTATTCCGCCAGGCGACCGCTTGAAATTTAATGGCGAATTGACCAATAAGAGGCGTTGTCCCCACCTGTTACCCAGAGATCACGCGCTAACTGTTATTATTTACATCTCATCTTGAATTTGGATTCAGTTTTAGTAACTCCAAGAAATAGACAATTCTGACAAAATCGATTTGATTTATTTTCTTTTATTATGTATGCTGGCTTTGTACGGGATATATTTCTTAAGGAAACTTATTTGTTTCTATGGGTATTTAGTTGCAACTGCCAGGTTGTGCAAATGAAAATTAAGTCTAGTTATGAGTAACATTGAATGAATATACTATACAGACTGTCAAAAGAGCGGAGTGATAGAGAGGTAATTTCCAATCAGAAAAACTTTATTATATGACATCTGATTGTGTATAGGTTTTTAGTTATAGCCATTTTGAAGGATCCGTTGAAGATGGCTACTTTTGAAATTGTAATATTTTTTATTTTCAATAAACTTTACTGGATATATCCCCAAACCGTCGAAATAAGGAAACATTTTCAAGTAAATGTCATGCTTATTCTTCTAATTCTCTAAAGCGCCTAATGAAAACTGCATTTGCAATATCATGTTCTATTGTAGCAGTCTGGACGTCCTGATCCCTCTTCAATTATTCATTAATGTATGTATATGTTTTGATTGCTCAATATTATTCTCATTATTAATTAAAACTAGTCTAGTTAATCTAGGTTGAGCTATCGGCTAAACAGTAATTTTTTGCATCGCTGATTTTTTACATTTTCAGCGACATACTAATTTAGTTTTGAATTCACTTACTCGCCATTACTAATATCGAAGAAATTGTGGTCAGATTGACAATTTTCAAATACCAATCATTTGATCTCAATCGGATGTGTTAGTATGTGCAAATAAAGCAAAAATCTAGCATCGCTACTTTTTCGGTTTTTCAATTGTAGGGCAGACTTTCAAAATTTCATACAAATATAATTCAAGTAGGAATAAATATCTTATACATAGGTATGACTTTGCCTTTGAAACATATCCTTTTTAACCGACTGGTCTAATCAGTTCTGGTACATAATGAAGCTAACATTTTGGATAGAATAATGACATCAAAAATTTGAAGGTAAGTAAATCCGTTGCAGTATACATGCGACCAGCCTTCCAAAGGACGTTCACCCCTCAACCAACGTCGTTATAATTCTTGATTTCATATTCTCAGAATTTTTCAACGACAGAAAATAAAGTTTCATAACCTGCCACAATATTTTGAGAAGCGGAAACCCTGACACCTCAGGACGGTGGTGGCGAGAGGTACAGGGTATTTCAAAAAATTATGGCATTTCTGAATTAGACATTAGGTCGAAAAATAACGCGAAAAGTTTTTATAAACATGGGTCCTAAAATGACCCCTTACCAAGATTCAGGGTCTTTGAGTTTCAATATATATATATATATATATATATATATATTCGGGATGCGTTGAGACAACATTTTGTACACTTAGTAATAATAGCATAGTCAGTCGATACGAAAATATTTGTGCGTAAAACTACACCAGGGGCATGGAAATTGGGAAATTTTGATTTCTACAGAGGAACAATTTTTTTATGCGATTGACTTTTTCTAAACATTTGTTGCATTTTTCAATGAGCAGTCTTACACTAATCGCCTCTTGATAAATTTTTGTTAGACTACTTTAGGAAAAAGGTTGGTTTGAATATTTGAGGTAATATCTGTATAAAGAACGAGAACCTAATTACTTCCCTCGCCTACTGGCGGGGTTGAAGCTTAGGAGTTGGGGGTAGTAAATGTATTAGTCAAAGACATCCTATCATAAAGAAGCTTCTGATCCCGGTAACAACGGGACAAATAAATGATAAAAGTACTATGTAATGTGTTAACAATTCAAAATAACTTTGCAACCGTAGGCGTTGCGCGCACAGCGCGATGCTGTATCGTCGTGCAGGTGTCGTGGCCATATCGTAGAATTGACCGATCCATGCAATGATCGAGCATTTTATGAAATGGCCAACAAAACTTGACCATATCGTTAAATCGTCAACGTTTAACGATTTGGTCATCCACGATTGATCGTATCGTAAAACGTACATAGAATACTTAATAAAAATTCAGAATATTATGTTACGTACGCGTTTATTGTTCTTTGAGTATGACAAACATTTTTATTAAAACTAGTAACTTTAGGAAATTAAAATATAATTATATTAAAACAATCTCAAATTACATGTGGCGAAAATTAATAAAAGTGTTGAATATATCAGATATCACAAATTAAATTATTACCTGGCGTGGTCACTTTATACCCTATTTCACGAGTATCCATCACGGTAGAATGACAGCTGATTATCTAGTAATATCTCAAAATTCTCCATATCGGCACAGGACACCTAATTCTGACGGATCCGTCAACGCCAGGTAGACAGAGCCGAATTTTG